CGAACTTGCTTTGATCCACCGGAGTGCGCAGCCCCGCGCCCCCGGAGCGCTGCTTTACCGCATTCTGTCCAAATTCGTGTTATATCGGGTCGCGTTCTATCGGGGTAGAGGTTTATGTTTATCATATCTGGCATGTAAATATCTTGTAATGCCGGCTATAAAAGTGCCATGCAAAGGCCTGTTCTCCCTTTCAGGTGACATTGTAAATAAGAAGTGGTCAGCATTATGTCCCATAAATGTAAACCAACTTGTTTGTCGTAGCGACAAAAAGTAGGACTGAGTGGACTTATAGGCTCTAAAGTTTTACATTGTTTTTTTTTAACAAAAAAAAATCTACATTTGTAAGTTGCACTTTCACAATAAAGAGATTGCACTACAGTACTTGTATAAGGTGAACTGAAAAATACTATGTCTTTGTTTATCCTTTTTACAGTGCAAATATTTGTAATAATAATAATATAAAGTGAGCACTGTGCACGTTCTATTCTGTGTTGTCATTGAAATCAATATATTTGAAAATATAGAAAAACATCCCAAAATATTTAATAAATTTCACTTGGTATTCTATTGTTTAACAGTGTGATTAATTGTGATTCATTTTTTAATTGTGATTCATTTGTTTGAGTTAATCGCGTGAGTTAACTGCAATTAATCGACAGCCCTACTTACAACTTTTAGCCCAGTGGTTAGAGCACTCCCCTGGGATGTGGGTTCAAGTTCCCCTTCCACCTTATGGAGAAATAGGGATCTACCATCTCAGGTGAGCGACCCAGTCACTGGGCTAGAGGATATTCTGATGTGGAGTTCTCTCAGTCTCTCCTTTGGAAGCTGTTCCATTGGGGATAAATAAGGAAAGGATCATTGGGCCAGAGAGAGAGAGAGCAAGGAAAAGTATGAGAATGAGTCTGTAGCCTGGTGGTTGGTGCACTCACCCAGGAGCTGGGAGACTCAGGATCCTATGCCAATACCTTTCTGTAATGACTTACCACAATGGAACAGCTTCGACAGGAGAGACTGAGGCAGCCCTGCATCAAAATATCCCACAGCCCAGTGGATACAGCATCCAACGGAGAGGTGGCAGATGCCTGTTCAAACCCTTCTCCAAATCACGCGGTGGGGGGACTTGAATTGGGTGTCTCCAGCATCCCAGGTGAGTGCTCTAACTACTGTCCTAAAGTTCTGAGGGAGGTCCTTGTGCTTCTCCCCCCACCATTTTGTTGGGAACTCCTCTGTAGGCGCCCTTACCGGATCAGGCCCCACAGCAAGTTAGATGAAGGAACGCCTATCTTTCCCAGTTCATGAATCACACTGGGGCTTAGGTGTCTGGATGACTGGCACAAGGCTGCAGTGTGCATGCTCAGAGGCAGAAACATAGGTGCCTAAGGAATATCTACGGCAAAAATTTAGGTGCTGAGTGCTTTTAGGCTTTTTGGCACCTACAGGCGGCAGCTGAGCAGAGGGTTTTTGAACCCCAGTCGAGTCTGATTCTCGGATTTAGGCACCTATGTCCTTTTGTGAATCTAGCCCATAGTGTCTAGGAAACAGGATTTAAAAAAGAAAAGCAAAAGCAAACTCGTAAGCTAGCTGATAAAATGACCCTCATATGCGAAGATACAATATAGATAATAGGAATATAAAATTTCCTCTTAAAGCCAGTAACCAGCTTTTTAGAATTCTTCTTGAGTTACAGGCATGTTTACCCATGTGGAAAGGGCATGTGTGTTTCATATACATAGATAGTATATCATATTTCATGTGTATGGACTTTAATATATAAGGAACCATTTACATATTAAGTTATATATGGGTCATATACTGTATCATCTCAAATAAATCCAACATATAAAATTATCCTAATGGATGAATATAAAGTAGGGATACAATTTTTTTTTGTCCCATATGGGTGAAAAGAGTATTTGTCTTTATAAAAAAGATACACATGCTCTTTAATATGGAAATGTATGAATTAACTTATCCTAAAGTACTGTATGATATTTCTTTTTCTCTCTCTCTGCCTCTGTGTGTGTGTGTGTGTGTGTGTGTGTGTATCAACATATTCACAGTGATCTTTTTAGGGCAACACAGAGGCTAAATCTTGTTCACCTTATTCACATGAGCAATAGCAGTAACATAAGTAGTTCCACTGAACTGAATAAGCCAAATTCTGCCCATAGATATACTTGTGAACCTCCAGTTTATTAATGCCCTGATTCAACAAAACATTTGAGCAGGTGCTTAATTTTAAACATGTGCTTATACCCCACTGAAGTCAATGGGACTCAGCCACACGTTTAACTCCTTTGCTGAACAAGTTAATGTGTGCTTAAGTGCTTTGCTGAACCGGGGCTTGAGTACTGAGTTGACCCCAATGGGACTGTCTGAGTGGGAATTTTGATGGCTTGTCTCATTTTAATAATAAAGGATGAAATTCTGGCCCCAATTCTTGGCCCTATACCAAAACGCCTATTGGGGTCAGTGGGCCAGGATTTCACCCGAAGTGTTTTTTCCAACCAGTATTCAACAATATGAACATTTATTTTTTCGTCCATGTGAATCATGTCTGTGGATTCACAGCTGGGATACAGAATGAGCTTCCTTGTCTTTTTTTCTCATTTAGCCGGCCAGTACTGAATTCCACAGTGCTTTTTTCAAAATGGTACATTAGAACAAAAAGATAAAACCCAGACAAACTGCTTTTAGCATGTTTGTTGATATGAGGTGTGTTCAGACTACTGCAGACATGGGTGGAAGTGTTTCATTTTTTGTCTGGTTAAAGAAATGGGCAAACTAAACATTTGTTAGTCTGAGATAACAGAACAGGGCAGGGCAGATATTCATTATGGGCTCTAGGATAAATTCCATGGAAGTTTTAATATGGTAACATAACCATACCTCTGATGTAACAACAGATTTGTATACAGTATGCAGTGTATATATATACTATATCTGCCTGTGTATATCTATGCATACATTTTTTATTTCTTGCATCACTTCTACACGCATTTGCTACTGTTAAATCTGTTTGGATAAACAACACTCCACTTCATAACATGTACATAAATGAAGGATATATTTATACATGTCCATTTATAAAGTTGCAAACAAATATGAAAAAATAATGGCAGCGAATGAAACAGAAAATATGATGTTTTCTTGTTCTGGTTGCCAACTATACACATAGGAAAAATATCAGTGAAACCTAGTAACCATATTGACTAAAAAATAGCAAGGATGCTTCATAGCCTATTGTAATCATTTGAATTTATGGCATGCTTTGCCTCATATGTAATAGATGTGCAGCAAACATGCACTTCACTATTCATAGGAAGAAATGGCTCTGCACATCTAGATTGCCATTTAAGATGCAGTGGGGATTTCCTGCAAGCAATTACATGGGAAGTCTTCATGCACTGGATTGGGCAAACCATGCGGGTAAGACGGCTAACCTAGCCACTACAGTTTCTCCTGAGTGGTAAGTCTCAGCAGTGTGTATCCGCAGAATGTATTTAAAGCATTCTTTAGGTCTGAGGGTATAAAGCTTTCAGCTTTGAGTGAAACACCTTAATTAAATGGATGTTCCATTTAGGGAAGACCAAAAGGAGAAAGTGATCTACAGAAACGCCACCATTTCATGCAAACATAATAGGATAGGAGAAAAAAACTGATCTTCATCAATGAGTCAATGCAATTCACACAATGAACTATGGGTTCCTGTAGTGACCAGACCTCCTAATGCTTACTTAGGCAAATATTGATTTTGCAGTGTTTTGTCACAGACACAAGCCTCCATAGCAATGAAAGCAAAGAGAATTATTTAGGATGCTGAACAGAGACAAAGATCCTGAAGTTCTATCTTCTAAATTAGCTTAAAAATGGTCACTACACAGGATCTCTCTATGCTCTGTCCAGGACTTAACAGTGACAAAATGAACTGCTTACTACACTACAGACCTCAATGGGATTTTTGTGTAAGTAAGAACTTTTGCATTGGGCTGTGCAAACGTGCTGCAGTTGTAGCTATCAAAGGTACAGTGGAGGCATTAGATAGAAATTTTAAACATAATCCTACATGCTAAGAAATCTCCTCCTGTAACCTGTTAAATTGGATTTTTCAGTGCTAAGCAGAGAAGCCAGACTAATAATCAGGGTTTTCGCGTGCACAAAATGCTTGGACTTTGGAAAGGTGCAAGGGAAACCTGCTTAGTCCTTAGGCAGGAAACCGGGGGGAGCACCAGACATGTTGTAGCTATTTTTTTTTCCTTTCAACATTCCATAAGTATTTAAAAGAAAAACAAAAATCATTCTAATGGGAGACAAACCAGACATGGGGATTTACAGCCAAATCAATGTTAACAACAGCTCTCCAGGAGGAGGAAGAAGTAGGAGCTAATGGACAGGATATATGTTTTGAAAACAAAAATTAAAGGGCAAAAGGAAAACAAGCTCTGATTTAAAACCTCACATGGAAATATTTAAGATTAGTTGTGAGCTTTGAAGCAGTTTAAAGAACAATAACGATTGTTTAGTTTATGTTGAATGGATTCAAAATTACCATCCAAAAATGGGAATATATGTAACTTCACAAGGACTTCGTAACTTAGAATCTGATAAAGTCCACTGAAGTTAACAGAATGACTCTCATTGAATTCAGTGGACTCTGGATCAGGTCCTTGGAACATATGAAGCACAGCAAACTGTCCCATAAATATAATAATCCTCGAAGCCTGGACAGTATGTTAATTTCCAAATAACTGATCTGAGCATAATCCTTTTTTAAAATATATATATAGCATTTAAAATTATTTTCTAAGAGCTTTAAAGAGAGATCAAAGGTGGCACTAAAAAAAGTATTTTAGTGGCTGATGGATTAAAAAAAAAATCATTAATAGACTCTATGACACAGCCAAACAAGTCAATTGAATTCTATTGAGGGTGTTTTTCCTATGTGTATATTAGAGATCGGAATTAATTACTGCTTATTTGACAGCCATTGTACTTACAAGTAAATGCTGGATTCGTTGCCCCCAATATCAGGCGACTGGAGTTTCTGCACAAGGATAACGATTATGCCAATGAAAAGAACAAAGTTTATCTGGGAAGAGAAGAAAAAGAGAAGTGAAAAGCAATCCTGGCTTATGGGGAGAATGCTATTAGCCATGCTGTATTTCTCTTAATATGACAAAGAGTGTCTGACCCGCTGGCCCCCGTTGCCTCACTCCTCCCAAATCTGTAGAGCTGGAACTCTGAAGAACCTCTGTGGAGAGGGGACCTTGCAGGGTCATGACTAATAGCGGGACAATATGCCCTGGAGGCAGCATTCCCACTTTCTCTATTGCCCTAAGCCCAGATTTTGTGGGCACAGACTCCCTTGCGTGCCTGAGCATGCCTTTGCCAGCAACAGTTAATGAGAGGCTTACGTAAACAGTTTTCAGCATTTGTCATTATCAAAAACAGCAAGGGAAACAGATCCTTGAACGCCTGTACTTGGTTGGCCAGAGTTTAGTCCTGAGAGGTACTGAGTACCTTCAACTCCCACTGACTTCATGCACTCAGCACCTCTCGGAATCAGGCTACATGTGAAGGAAGAGCTGATTTGTTCTCTTACTGAGTGAGGGTAAGGCAGGTGGCTTTGCCGTATTGCTCCTTGCAGCCCTGAGGCTGGATTCAGCTCACAGATCCATGCAGGCGGGGAGGGGAGGGAAGGGGCTGTGGTGGAATAATGTCCCCAAAAGGGAGCAGGTGTGGTGGAATAAAATGGTTGCAACCTCCTCTACAGAAGGACAGACAGAAGGAGGGTTTGAAGTACCCAAAGAGCGGGCAGCGCGGACTAGTGAGGGGCCTTGGCTACTGCAGCTGGGGAATGCCCTGACCGAACACTAGAAGTGGTAAAAAAAAAAAAAATCCCATTTGGTTTCTGTTAAAAATGTCAATTTTTTGATTTAAAAAACCCGCGGAAACAAAAGCTAACACGGTCCCTGGGCTCTGAAATTCTTTTTTCCAGACAAAAATCAAACGTTTCATCCATATGGAGATGTTTTCAAAAAAACATTTTGATTTTAATGCTGCTGCATTGTTGATTATAAAAAAAAGTAAAAAATTGCAAACAGCTCTGCTCAGGGCATCCCCTCAGGAGCATCTACCATCAGAGCCCCAGACATAATTTGTAGCTTTCCCTTCACTGAAAACCCCAAGGGAAGGGGGTGGAAATACCATCACCTACGTATCCTCTAGGGTGAATCCCCCTTAGTGATCTGTCACCGGGAATTGCAGGAGCCGAATGATTTCATTTTACGCTCCTCTACCTGCAATTGTTGCATTATTATTTTCTGAATCCATTTTAGCCTCTGCATCTGCGCCCACATAACTAAGCCTTATAACCAGTATGGCTCTACTATAGAATCATAGGACTGGAAGGGACCTCGAGAGGTCATCTAGTCCGGCCCCCTGCACTCATGGTAGGACTAAGTATTATCTAGACCATCCCTGACAGGTGTTGATCTAACCTGCTCTTAAAAATCTCCAATGATGGAGATTCTACAACCTCCCTAGGCAATTTATTCCAGTGCTTAACTACCCTGACACTTAGGAAGTTTTTCCCAAAGTCCAACCTAAACCTTCCTTGCTGCAATTTAAGCCCATTGCTTGTCCTATCCTCAGAGGTTACGAAGAACAATTCTTCTCCCTCCTTCTTGTAACAACCTTTTATGTAAATGAAAACTGTTATCATGTCCCCACTCAGTCTTCTCTTTTCCAGACTAAACAAACCTGTTTTTTTTTTCAATCTTCCCTCATAGGTCATGTATTCTAGACCTTTAATCATTTTTGTTGCTCTTCTCTCAACTTTCTCCAATTTGTCCACATCTTTCCTGAAATGTGGCACCCAGAACTGGACACAATACTCCAGCTGAGGCCTAATCAGCGCGGAGTAGAGTGTAAGAATTACTTCACGTGTCTTGCTTACAGTACTCCTGCTAATGCATCCCAGAAGGATGTTTGCTTTTTTTGCAACAGTGTTATACTGTTGACTCATATTTAGCTTGTGATCCACTATGACCCCCAGATCCCTTTCTGCAGTACTCCTTCCTGGGCAGTCATTTCCCATTTTGCATGTGGGCACCTGATTGTACAACTGATAGAGGCAAAGCAAGCCTGGTGGGCCTATGACAGCAAATATTCACTGCCTAGGACAGGGTCATCCTGATGCCCCACCTAGAACTTCCATTGACTCATAGACTCATAGACTTTAAGGTCAGAAGGGACCATTATGATCATCTAGTCTGACCTGCTGCACAACGCAGGCCACAGAATCTCACCCACCCACTCCTGTAACAACCCCCTGACCTATGTCTGAGTTACTGAAGTCCTCAACTCGTGGTTTACAGCACTTAAGGACAGACGGGAGAACTACGATCATCTAGTCTGACCTCCTGTGTAACACAGGCCAGATAATTTCCTCCAGTTATTCCTGTATTGAGCCCAATAACTTGTGTTTGACTAAAACACGTCTTCCAGAAAGCCATCCAGAAGACAGAGAATCCACCACTTCCCTTGGTAGCTTATTCCAGTGATTAATCACTTCCATAGACGATGTGCATGATTTACTATCCAGAGCCAGAAAGAGGTCCTTCATGCTAAAGGTGTCTGTCAACCCTGGGAGCAGTAATACCTGGGTACATGCGTGTTACATAATAGCAGGTATTTTCCAATTTGCTTAGGGCAGAGCCACTTCTAGCCAGCCTCGCCCTCTGCTACGTGACAACCTGTAGAGTCATTGGCTTTAATTCAGTTTTAGCTCATATGGATAGCCATGAAGAGATATCTCTTACATATGTTACTTACCATTATTGATCCAACCACGGGGCCCTTTATCACCCACCACAGGGCAGTGTTATCATTCATGTCCCAGCAGCTAAAATAATTAAAAAATAAAGGGGGATTCAGGGGAAGAAAGAGAGAGAGAGAGAGAGAGAGATAAAGAGACCACCAGGCACACCAGTACATTGATATTTTCTTCTATTGGAACTTTGTCACAAGAAGGAAAGGAACGACATGCAACTAAAGCACAAGACTTTGAGTCAAGAAATAAGAGTTCCCAGTCCTGTCTCTGACACTGACTTCCCTATGCAGCCTTAACCACATCACCTGGGGCCAGATGTTCAAAGGTATTTAGGCACCCTAATATGCAAAGAGGTGTCTCTTGAGATTTAAGTGAGTTAGGCACCTAACTCCCATTTAAATCAATCACAGTTAGGTGCTTCACCTGTTTAGGCACTGCCGGAAATCCTGCTAGCCACTGACCTGCGCCCTTAGGCACCTTTGAAAATCTAGCCCCAAGTGCCTGTGTGCATCAGTCCATCTGTCTGCAAAACGGGTATTCAAGCACTTAACTAGCTCAAGGGGGTGTTTTGAGGTTTACTGTGCAGAAGAGCAAAGTGTTATTTGAGACGGTTCAGACTGAATTTTGGGCAAAGGTTTAGGTCAGTTCGTATTTTAACTGTTGTACTGTCCTCTGCAGCAATCCATCATTAAAGCAAATGTCTGCCCATTGGATCTCCATTCTGCCTTCATATGCACAATTGACTCCTATGGAGCTGCATGAGGACTACATACAGACACTCATTTGAGGGCTACATTGGTCAACTGAAAGTTTGGGTTTTCAGGCCTCGGACATGTTTCTAGAATTGGGCAAATAGTGCAAACTTTTTTCTCTTGTACATGCATCTGACCTTTCTCCCCTGCCCAGCTTTTGATGAACGTTTTTAATTTTAAAACAAACCAAGCATGGCGACCCATTGGGATTTATTTTTCCTAGCACCGTCAGGCATCATAAAATGCTTTGCACTTGAAGTTGTGAGCTTTCCTCTCCATTGGAATAACCAGGGCCAGCTCCAGGCACCAGCGGAGCAAGAACGTGCCTGGGGCGGCACATGCTAAGGGGCGGCATTCCGGCCAGCCTTGGGGTGGCACAGTCCAGGCGGCATTTTTTTTGGTGCTTTGGCTTTTTTTTTTTTTTTTTTTTTTTTTTTTGCTTGGGGTGGCAATAATGGTAGAGCCGGCCCTGGGAATAACAACTGTAAATCCTGGTTCTAGTGATGTGCTGTCGGATTCTAACCAACCGTGAAAAGAACTCAGAAGAACAAAATGTTAATACTGTGAAAGTTTATCTTTACCTTTTATGTACTTCAAATGCCTGCCTGCAAAACATTGCGGAGGGGGTGGAGGAGGAGAGTAGAAACCCGTACGTTAAAAGCTATGGTCCCTTTGTTGTGTGTACGTGTGTGGGAGTAGATGAAATGTTTATGAGCCAGATTCCATCTTCCATGTGTATGTCACATGTGTATGTGGTGCACAGATCTGAAATTTCCCCATCAGTCCTGACTCATACCCACAAATGAACCACTCCATAAGTTGTCTAAGACAGGAAAAGTATATATATATATGTGAGGTGAAATTCTAGGGCAGGGTCTAATGGGTCAGGCACAAACAATGGCCTGTATTTTTCCCCCTGACATACACAGTGAATGGAATTTTCAAAAGCGCCTAAGTGACTTAGGAGCAAGAGTCCCACTGAAAGTCAACGATTCTTGTGCCCTTAAGCCACGCAGGCACTTGTGAACATTTCAGCCAGGATCTGTAAAACTGAATTTGTCAGGACCCTGCATAGATTAGTCCTGCTCTGGAGGGCTTGTGCGAGGGACCACGTCTGGTTAGCATATGGACATCGTTCAAAGTAGTTTTGCAGTGTTAATAGGCATCATTTTGTGGCTAAGAGTTTGTCTATAAAGGAATAAGATGTCAGGGATCAGGGCCTGGAACAGAGTCTGTCTTCTGGCACCCCAACAAGTGCCGCTGGCTCGGAGCAGGCTACCTGACTGACTGTCCCACCTAACTGGTCAGGAAGAGCAGCTGGCTGGCTGTTAGCCCAGCAGCAGCTCTCTAGCCACTCAATGCATTCATGTCCACAGCTGCGATCCTCCCTGTGCCCGCTGCTCCTTGCCGTGCTCCCGCCTTGCTCTTGCTATTGCCTTGTTCCACGACCTGGTTCCTGCTCAATCCCAACTATCTCCGCTTGCTCCCGGCTCCAGCTTCCTCACCCTGACCCGGGTTCTTGACTCCGGTTCTGACCCTTGGCGTGGCTTCTGGCTTCCAATCCTGGTTTTGACCCTTGGCCTGGCTCTTAGCCCTGGCTCTGACTCCTGCAATGACTACTGGTTCCTGACTGCAGCCTGGGCCCTGGGACTCGATTTGCGTCCCAGTTCCTGCTTTGACCACTAGGCATGACTCTTGCACTTTCCACTGAACCTGACTGCCCATGGGCTGGTTTTTAACATAAGCAATTACAAGGGGAAAATGTGCATTTCCCAAGACCACTTTAGCCCAACCCGTGTGCCTCCCACAGAATGGAAGGGGTGGAAGCAGCAGCCACTTTTTCCTTTCTTATGAGTCAGTGATGTAAGAGCACTTTAAGAATACGAAAAACAATGAGAAAACAGCAGGGCATGTAAGTATCGACTTAAAGACTGCACTCCCCAGGCAGGCTCTGTTACAGGTGCAAGTGGCTTGCTGCTGTGGAGACCAGAACCACATGACTTCTTCTTTTCGGGGGGAAGGCCCTTTTCCATTTTAAGATGCCAAATTCTGAGCTCTGGTGAAACTCCATTCCCTTCAGTGGTATTACTCTGGATTGACAGACAGCTCCATCTAGTCCCAGAGACCCAGTTCCCTTCTCACTTACACTGGGCTGAATCAGGAGTTGAAGTCAGTGTCTTTAAATTTCAGACCTTTCCCTTTCTCTCCGTGGTTTCCCCGCCCCGTAATTTCTGAAATGTTTTCAGACTCCTGCTGGCTTTTCCTCCCCACCCCTGAACAAACCTCGCTGATCTTTTTTAAAAAAAAAATAGCCATTGAGAGACTCAGCTAGACTCCATCTAAATGTGCTGCATGTTAATTAACTTCTAAGAAAGAAAGCAGCAAAGGTTTTTCCTCCCGTGAGATATTTACTCCCAAAACCAGGGACCATCTGGATTTCTAAAAGAAATTAATGCATTTAGGACCAGTGCTATAATCATCATAATGATACAACAGGGATTTCTGGCTTGTTTTGCATGGAAATAGGTGATTTAATTTGTTTTATCATCAAAATAGAACATTGGATAAAAAAAAAACCCCAATCCTCCATGGAGAGAGGTTTTTATGTGTAGTCAGTCACTGAATCACTAGGAAGGAATTTAAGAGAGATGGACCTGAGCCAGAACCTGAGATCCAAACATCTCCAATCTTTGGTGAAGTTGGGATCGAATATTCAGAGATGCTGAGCACCTGCAATTCCCACTGGCTTCAAAGGGCAGCAACTTGGGACACCGTATCATGTCTACTTCTGTGCTTAAATAGGTATTTAGGAGTCCAACCTTAGGTACTCAATGGTTTAGCCCAATGGTTCTCAACCTATTTACCATTGTGGGCTGCATATGCAGCTCTCTATGTGTTATGTGGGCCACATCCAATACTACCAGTATGGCCCTGAGAATGTCACATGGGCCACAGCTCTGTGTTGATTGGGCCGCAAGTTAAGAACCATTGGTTTAGCCTAAGCAAATTGCCCAAAGTTACACAATGAGTTAGTGGCAGAGCAGGGAACGGAAGCCAGGTCTCCTGGCCCACATTCCCCTGCTCTAGCCACCAGACCTCTTCCCTTCTGTACTTCATTTGAAAATGAGGTCACTGGAGGGTTTCTCACCCAATGGTACCTACCCGATATCATCAAAGTGATGTCTCAGCACAGCCCAGACAGTGACACAAATTGTCGGGGTGCCTACAAAAGACAAGAGAGAGAAATTGTTATTTGTTTATTGTTATTTATTGCTCTTATTTGCAGACCGCACATCAGTTCCATTTGACGCACAATCTTTCTCCACGGAGGTTTTATGTTTCAATGGCTTATAAGAAAAAAATGCTGCTAGGAATGACCCCAAACCCTACAGCTTACAATAGGATTGTTCTTGAAATGAATCTAGAAGTCCTTACTCTGTAAGGATTTGGCATGCGAGTAAGGCCTTCAAGTCTGACACCAGAGAGGGTGAGTTGACTTCAGTGAGGTTTCATGAGTATAAATGACGACATGGTGGGGTCTATAGTGTTTTAGGCCAATATCATAGAATGGTGTAGTATTCGATTGTTGTGCTGTTGATATTGTTCAATCACCACACAAAACACTGGAAATAAGCCAGGCTTCCTATACTTAGAGATGCTGTGGTATGCAACTGCTGCACAGAGGCAAATGTTGAGTTTTAATGGCATGCATTGTATTTTTGAAATGGGGCAAATGAAAGATTCAACCCCTGGTGGGAAGATTAAGGAGAGGGACTGACAGAAACTACAAGGACGTAGACAACCCTAGGGTCTAGCAGGAGGTGAGACTGACAGCCGCAAGTAAGCTTCATACATTTTGCAAAGCTGAGTTGGTGTCACATTGGTTAATAAGTAGAATTAATCTTCTCAGGCCCTGTCCTGAAGCTACTAAAATTGAGAATACCACTTTCTACACCTATTTGGTTGAGCAAAGCAGAGCTCTGTTAAAGAAGAACATACCCGGATAGTCTGAAAAATTAAAATGGAGAGAGATTGAACAGCAACAAAAATAAATGTTCTGGGGAGAGGAAATAAAACGTGTTAAATTGAATCCAATTTTAATATTCTCATGCTTATGAAAGACCAAGGATCTTGGGTGTATAATGGATGTTTCTAAAATTTCAAACCAAAACATTACATTAAAAATGAAGATCTGATGAAACCGTAAGCATGAGTGGATCAAAGGGGTCTTCCTTACAATGGCGTAAATCAGAAGTTACTCCAAAAAAGTCAGTGGAGCTACAACAATGAAAAGTGGGTGTGAGATCAGAATCGGGCCCAATGTATCGACTGCAAATGTAATCCAAACATCGCTTCCATACAGGGGCATGCACAAGGGCAGGGGGCAAGCAGGGGCGCAGGCCCTGGGGCCACAGCGGGAGCTGCCAGCTCCTCCAGCCATGGGACCGCAGAGGGGAGTGAGAGCATAAGCTCTTCAAGTCCCAGGACTGGAGGAGCTTGCTCTCTGCCCCTGCTCCGGCCAGAGGAGCTCTGTGATCCCACCGTAGCCAAGTACTTGTGGATACATCTATTGACCTAGCTCCATGACACATGGATTTTCGTTGAAATGATGAGTGTACTGCTGTTTATTTCTGTGCATATGGTGTTTGTGCATGTGTTGATATGGTTTAATGTATATAATGTGTGTGTTCAACGTGCCCCTCCAACAGGGATAAAATTTAAATTCCTGTGCACGTCTCTGCTTCCGTATTGTATAAGGCTGTTCTGATCTGGGACCATCTGTAATAAGAACACACACATGCACACCAGAAAAGAGTTATGTCATCTCCTTTTATCATTTCCTCCCCTGCATGCTTCTGCACTTCCAGGTTCCAGGCAAGGTCGGAATAAAAGTAGCATCAAAATGCCACTGAAAGGCCTATTCTTGCAGAGAGAATTTCTTCCCTTATCAAGAGCAGAAATTACAAGAAATCTCATGAGAAGAGAGGATCTCTCCTGAAATCATCAGTCCTGTTTTGCAGGGCTCAGAGGACTGAATAGTTCAGAAAAGCATCCACATTTATAATTGTCATTAATTTTATGCTGAGTGCTGACAATGCACTTGGGGCCCTCCAAAACACTGGTGAAGGCCTCAGCCCTGCAGAGCACGGACCACCCTTCAACTCCTATGCATGCAGCCCCCTGCACCTTGAAGTGTTGGACATCTTTTGCTCTGGGGAACTTATGATCCTGAAATCAAATATTCACCTGAGACAGGGTTGCACTATGGACTGGTAGTTCTTTAACTATATAGACCAACAATCCCTTGGTCAGTATGTCTGTAGGCTGTTTTATATTGTTCTCATATTTAACACTATATTCAGCTGCGCTAACAGACATAGGCCTAGAAGATCCTGCACTCAGCTCTATGGGGATGGAGCTTTACACCTGCAAAGAGTTTCATTAAACTCAGTGGGCTCCGCCTAGGCACAGAGCCCTGCTCTTTTAGATTAGATGACAGATGAGGTGAGAAGCAGTGTTGTTGAGTGGTTAGGGCTCTGGTTTAGAATCACAAAGACCAGAGTTCTATACCTGGCTTTCTCACTTCATCATTCTGTGACTCTGTTTCCCCTCCTACTCTTTGTCTGTTTAGAGTGCACGATCTTCATATCAGGAGCTGTCTCTTATGTGTATATACGGGGCCTAGCACAATGGAGCTCTGAACCCAGCTGGGGCTCGTACGTGCTAAAATAATACAAATCGGAAGAACCAGAGCTGTAAACGTTTTCAGATTTCTTTGCTGTTTTTTAAATGACTCTAAGAAGTTATTTCTATCCATGATCAGTTTTGAAGGAACTTGTTTTACAAAACATAAAACATTGGGCCTAACCTTGAGAATATGTGATTAAACCTGAGACAAGCAGCTGCAATCAATGGTTTCTCTTGTGTCTGGCATCTTGGATTCTTAGCCAAAATTTCAATTACATACTGTCTGATTAACATGCGCGAAGGATGAATTCGGTCCCAGAAGATTCACATCCAAAGTAAGCACAATACATATTATCACAGGATTCTCTAAAGCACGGTTTGTTTCTTTCCAAGATAACCAGCACTTATTTACCTATCCATCCCTGGATTGTGAAGCAGGCCTTACTTAGACATGCTTTCCACTCAGCCATCAGCTTTCAGACATGACTGAAGCCTCAAGAAATGGGCCAGAGCTGCTATATCTGATTTGTATAAGCAGAAAATTTCCTATTAAGAACATTAAGAACTCTTCTTGCAAAGAGAAATCCCCTAAAGGAAACTGTATGCTTGCCAGTGATGCAAAATCATCCTTATTTTAATGCAGGTCTGGCTAGACTGGGAGACAAGAAGCAGTTTGGTTTATAATGGCAATACTCATATCTGTAATACCAGTGGGAGGAGAAAAAAACCTTACATCAATTATTCCACATACAATGGAGAAGTGGGGGTTGTTTGGTTTGCTTCTTTTTTGACTTCTTGGAGTGCTACAAGAGGCATGTTGGTTTTCTTCAGAAAGAAAGACTCTTGGGTCTACATGGTTCTACAGCCAACCACATGACTTGCCTATGAGCACCGCTGAGGACTCCCAAAAGGAGGTCTAGTTCATCTCAAATTGGGCAAGGAAGATGGTTATGATGCTGGGGCTTTGGGGTGGGAGGTAAGGAAGCCCTCCATTTAGACTACATGTCACACACACTTGTACACGCAAACACATGAAGAGCATAGAAATGCAAGTGCCTGGAGTCAGTGACTGAAAATACCAGGTGGCTTCTGCTTTGATTACACTCATTCGCTTGCTCTCAGTCAACTCCTCATTTCAAGAACAAAGTAGGGGGAGTAAAGTCTTTGGCATGCATTAGGGTTAAAAATAAACAAAACCCATGTAAGAAATGCCACCTACCCCAGCCGATGATGGTGTACCAATAAAAATATCTCCTCTCTGGGAAAAAGGTCTCCACCAGTAAGGTGAAAAGGTACAATCCCTCAATGAACAGCCAGAAATAGTTGGACATGACGCAATAGTGGAAAAAGACCATCACTGCTTTGCATTCCACCTACAAAAACCAAGCACAAATAAAGTTATTTTGCTGTTTCACCCCTGTTGGATGGGGATACGAGAACAAGACACAGATCCCGAAATCCTCTAACAACAAGTAAAACAATCTGGCCTTTTATTTTATAATACATACATCTAAAGAGTTTATGAAAACTGTTAAAAGCCACTTAAAGAGTGCAGCTCTAAAGGGCAGAAAACCAATTTTTGCAGTCAGGTGGTATTTTATGAGTGCTTTCAGGAAGCTTAAGAACTTCTACTAGTAGTAAGGTGCATGCCGACAATGGCAGCTAATTGCTAAATTATAGTCCTCCATGCTTTAAGTGCAGGTAAGAAAAAGAATCCAGTTTTGTATAGAGAAATCTAAGGAGGGGTATTAAATAGAAGTAAAAGTGTGGAAAGGCCTGAGATTGCTAAGAGGCTCATAAAGGATGCACCCTACTGTGCAAAGTTCAGAATTTTACTTCGGTGCAATTTGGTGGAAGCTGTCACTCAGTGTCAGGAAATGAAAAGTGAGGATAAGTGTGAAGAAAGCTGAGTGATTTACCATACAAAGCAAACGGGGAAAAGTTTTAGACAAAACTACAAATCTACTCTGTCAAACTCTGCTGAACCCTACACAGACATTGGGTTGGGCAGACTTGGCTTTGCAATGTTGCATGTCAACAGGATGATATTGAACCTGCGACATCACCCACTCACAAAATGACATCACAGAATAGCACTGAAAACTGGAAGCTCATCCCTGGAGCTTGGGGAGGAGACACCTGGTTGCCTCCCATTGACACTCCATCCCCTGGACACATCCTCAGCTAGTGTGAACTGGAATAGCTCCATTCACTTGAATGGCGCTACACCCATTTATGTCAGCCAAAGATCCAGCCACCAGAATGTAGGATCTGAGGGACTCATCACTTGTGATTTGAGGTTCATGGAAACTTTGAAACTGAGTTAATGGATTTTCGGTTTGGGAGGGCTGAACCAAAATTTTTTTAAAAACAATTCTGGTTTGATAGGAACCAAAATTGTTTTTTTCACAAAGTTTTCACCAAATCAAAAATGCAAAAAAACTCTTTCAGTCAACTCAAAATGTTTTCAGTGGCTTCAAAACTATGTTGTTATTTTTTTGGTCGAGTATTTCATTTTTAATTGGACATCTATGGTGGTTTCCCCTCCTTTTTTTTCCTTTTTTTTTTAATTGGCCAAAAATTAATTTGAAATGCCATTTTGAGTCAACAAGTCAAAACAAAATGTTTCAGAATGAAATGGTCAAAACAAAATGTTTAATCTCTCAAAAAAAAAAAAAATTCAACCAAAACCATTTGTCAAATTCAATCTGATCTAGTGTCTCTGAGCTGTTTCAGAGTAGCAGCCATGTTAGTCTGTATCCACAAAAAGAACAGGAGTACTTGTGGCACCTTAGAGACTAACAAATTTATTTGAGCATAAGCTTTCGTGGGCTACAGCCTACTTCATCGGATGCATGTAGTGGAAAATACAGTGGGAAGATATATATATACACACACAGAGAACATGAAACAATGGGTGTTACCATACACACTATAAGGAGAGTGATCAGTTAAGGTGAGATTTTATCAGCAGGAGAGAAAAAAAACTGTTTGTAGTGGTAATGAAAATGGCCCATTTCCAGCAATTGACAAGGAGATATGAGGAACTGTAGGGGGGGAGGGGGGAATAAGCATGGGGAAATAGTTTTACTTTGTGTAATGGCCCATCCACTCCCAGTCTTTGTTCAAGCACCATTAATTTTTTTTTTTTTGTCTCTGAGCTGGAAATCACACCGCCAGCTCAAAGTATAGACATACCCTTAGAAGTTGGAATCTGTTTAAGTGAGAAAGAAAAGGCTGACGAAGAAAGTAGAGTAACAGTCTCTTCCTTTGGAAAAGAATCATGGGACTTTACATCACAAGTGGATGGGCAAGAGCGACCTCAGTTTAGCAACTCATCTAGATGTTCATCAGAATGATGATGGGTTTGGATCAAGTAAGAACCAGCTCCAAAGTTACTCATAAAATTGAGCCAAATAAACTGAACTTTTCCTGAGGGTGAAAAAAGTTTTGATATATTTTAAAAAAATATATATGTAATTTATTGTTACACACCATTCAGTCACTCCTACAACATGGCACTGCAGTGCCAGCATTAGGCGTGAACCTATGCTGCTGCGCAGAGGCAAAAAGAGCTATCCTCACTAAGTGAACTTTACTGGGGTATTCTAGAGAAGCGGAGCCATAAATAGGCATTTTAGCATCTAGGGTAAGCAAGCATATTTGCATCCCCTACGGATCCCCCCCCCATCTTTTTCCGCCCCTGTGGCTTTGCGCCCTGGGCAGCTGCCCCGCTCACCCTGTCCTGATTACAGCCATGGTTTGAAGTTCTAGGATATTTTTAAGTGTCTGTTAGAACAATCTTCTTTCTTTCCCCAACCCAGATGTGTTAAAAAAGATTCCCATCCCTCATCCAGGGGCACTTGGTCTCTTGTGCCCCTCCACCCCATCCTCTTCTAGCCATCCAGGCTTGGGGAATAGAGAAACTGCCTGGATGGAGCAAGGCTTGAGCTACAGCAGTGAATTCTCGGCTCTACTGATGGCACCAGACTATGCTTCTTAGTCTTAATTCTGGACATAAGAACATATGAATGGCCCTACTGGGACAGACCACTTCCAACAGTGGCCAGTGCCAGGTGCCCCAGAGGGAATGAACAGAACAGGTAATCATCAAGTGATCCATCCCCTGTTGCCCATTCCCAGCTGATGGCAAACAGAGGCTAGGGACACCGTCCCTGCCCATCCTGGCTAATAGCCATCTCCCTTGTGATGATTGGCTGTTTGCTCCAACTCCCTCCCTCGTAGTTCACTTTAGCCTTACTTCAGGCTCCTCTCTCTCTTTTATTCCTGCTTCCCCTCAGACTGCCTTGAACTCATTCTCTTCCCTTTGTCTTTCCTTTTAGCTGTTCACCTTCTGCCTTCCCTCCTTAGCACACTCTTACCCCGGATCCCAAACTCACCATATGGGTGTGTGAATAACAATAACGTTAACAAGCAAAACCAACCAAAAAAATCTCACATCATGGAAGTAACAGGACGTCTGCAAACCACCATCACTCTGTTTTTAAATGACAGCCCTTTCTCTCACTGTTTATTGTTATTAAAATTACTTGTGTTATTATTTGTAGCACCTAGGAGCCCCAGTCATGGACCAAGACATTATTGGGTTAGGTGCTGTTTACACTGGAAGCTGATCATGATACAGGTTTGGATTCTCTCTTACTATGCATTTGTATGAGTCAAGGACAATGAAGGACAGATCTCAGATGGCGCTTCCAGGAGCAACTGCAATAGAATCATAGAAGATTAGGGTTGGAAGAGACCTCAGGAGGTCACCTTGTCCAACCCTCTGCTCAAAGCAGGACCAACCCAACTATTAATACAAATATTTAACAATCATTGTCATTAGAGAAAAAAAATGGACTCCAGCTTTGGTTCTACTTACAGTAGATATAAAACAATGGTTAATCTCCTGTTCCGCATACAAAATCCCATCTTTGATGAAGACGGATATTGCTCGTAGAATAAATGAAATAAAGAGGTTCATGTGAATAAAGTTCCGAGTGCAGTGAAGTTTCCTAGAAAGAGGAGAGAGGAAATGGGGGTGGTGGGTGGATGATTGATTTCTCTCTTAAGAATACAACATCAAGACTGGTGGTTTCATGTCTGAATACCCGGAGTTTGAACATTTGTGATCCCAGGCAATCCAGCAACTCAGGAAACAGTATTCTGTGCTTTCCATGGGGCTGGGAGACCGCAGCATTTTTTAATATCTTACTGACCTCACGGCCTTGATGATATCATGTGGCAATGAATTCTACCGGCTAACTGTGCATTGTGTGACAAAAAAATATTTAATGTCTATGGAAGATTTTTAAATGCATTTGCTCTAATGCTGGCATCTCTTATTGAATTTTAGCCAAAAATTTGGATTCAGTTTTTAATCTTTGCATTGTTGGTTTAGGTTTTTAGACAGAGGGGAATTTTGGTTTAAGAGATGATACTCATCAGAACCTTGATAATGTCTGTGCTTAATTTTCCTGGACACCGAGTACAAAGGTGTGAAAGTTGGTTCCTATAGAACTTTCCATGAAGACTTCATGGGCAGCACCTTCAAAAGCGCTTAACCTAACTACTCTCATTGAAGTCAATGGTAATAGTCCAATTTGCCTTACTAGGAACAGAGGTAGGCCATTTTACCATTGACTTCAAGATTTCATTAATCAGTGATTTGGGAGAGGAAGAATGGTGACCTAAGGTAAGTCATTACGTTTCTCTGTGCCTCCTTTTCCCATCTGTAAAATGGGTATGATAGCACTGTCCTATTTCCCAGGGATATTGTGAGGATAAATATCTTAAAAGATCATGAAGTGTTCAGATATTATGGTAATAGAGGCCAGATAAGTACCTAAGATTGACCAGAGTTAGGCCAATGCTGAGTGCTTTGGAAATTCCAATCCCATGTGCACTGAAATATGAACAAAACCAAGACTCAATGACACCACCCGTTGGAAAGATCTGATTTTTAAGGGCCGTCTTGCATCTTATTTTTGTAACTCCTGAGGTCGAGGACTTGATTGTTTTTGGTCCCCTGGGCCCTGATCTTTTGTCCCCCCTACAGAGATGAGCGACAACTCATTTCTGGTGACTCACCTGAAACGACACAGGATAACCATTGCTGTGGTGAGGGATACAAGGGACGTGCTGTATCCCACTGTGTACAGAGCCTTCACGGAGAGGTAGTAGTAATCCTTGAGAAACAAACAGCACATGGTCACCAATAGTACTGTCACGTAGGGCCAGATCTTGCTCACCTCACTCAGGGGAGTAATTCCACTCACCTCAGCTCTTAATGGGACTGCTTGGATGAGAAACACGAACGGGACTGGGCTCATACATGATGTCTTCATTTACTTCTCCCGTGCCATGTATAATGACCAGGGTTAGCATAGGTTTGGCTCTGTTTGTGGCTCAGTACCTTACTAAGGTGACTGAAAACTAGATTTTTGCAATTGCACTGACTACTTCCTAGGTTGTTCAAAGGCATACCAGCTTACTTTATGGCAGACTATATGCCGTAGTAGCTGTAAGGCAGTGTTTCTCAAACTGGGGTCGCCACTTGTGTAGGGAAAGCCCCTGGCAGGCTGGGCTGGTTTGTTTACCTGTCCTGTCTGCAGGTCCGGCCGATTGCGGCTCCCACTGACTCCGGTTCACTGCTCCAGGCCAATGGGAGCTGCTGGAAGCGGCGCGGGCCAAGGGACTTATTGGCCGCCGCTTCCAGCAGCCCCCATTTGCTTTCAGCAGCGAACCGTGGCCAGTGGGAGCCGCGATCGGCCAGACCTGCGGACGGGGCAGGTAAATAAACTGGCCCAGCCTGCCAGGGGCTTTCCCTACACAAGCGGCGACCCAAGTTTGAGAAACACTGCTGTAAGGATTAATTAACTAATGTTTATAAGAGCTACATGCTGCATAAGCGGTATGTATTAATATTATGGAAATATGCAGTATAATGCTAGAATACAAGCAAAGCCCTGCCTCTTTTGAACACATATTTATGGATATGAATAACACGAATAATATGAATGTCGAATGGCTCAGCCCTGAACCATACAATTAACACGTGTGCACTGTTCTTCACTTCCTCCTCATTTTAAAGGGTTCCTACCTGATTTTCAGACTCTGTTTCATTTTCATCAAACCCACAGGCATCATAATAATGAGGGAAAGGTTCAGACCAGCCATCTTCTGTGCAGTTTCTGCTGATGTCCCCTACATCTGGAGTGGATACAAGCATCATGTAAAATAGGTCACAAGGAAAATGCCATTGCCAAACCAAACCACAGGAAACATCTTCCTTTACTGACTGGAGCATTACCACACAATTCCTGGCCTGACAACTTCGTAACTTAAACCTTAGCTTCAGTCCAAAAACTGCAGTTGTGGAAGTTTTTAAGAGGAGGATTCTGAAGCCAAGAAGGACAGCTAACATGCTCGTTCACATCTCCAATTACCCAGAACACTCTACCAGCACATGGTTGTTCCAGAGGAGTAGCTCTTGTGACTACACTGAAAAATTAGACCAGTGCATGTGGGTGCACTGAATTCTTTTCAGAATGCCCTGCAAGCCAGAACTGTAGAATGCTTTCTATTTATTGAGCCATTACAGTTTCTTCTGTTTGGATTGAACCTCCACCAGAATTGATTGCAATTTCAGCTTTTGCATGAGGATTTTCTGCTGCTCAGTATTTTTCATTTTTAGAGCAATTTTGTTAGGCAGCACATCATGTCAATGGCACTGACCTTATTTTTTAGTCATGTCATTCATCCATAAATGGAACCCAATGCACCTATTTAATCAGTGCATTCTTTTGTGAGCATTCCATTACTTGGTGAATTTCAGTACCAAATTGCACACCAGCTCCCAGTTCTCTGCAGAAATAGCTACTAAATCACAAGGTTGGGTTTCTTCAACACCATTCAGTAATTATTGTTACAGTAGTAAATATAATTTATAATTATATCCTTGTTAGACTGTAGCATTCAATTGATGAATAGATCTTCATAATGCTGCTAAAAGTAACACACAACTAAGTGCGGCACTATAATTAGAACTGATCTGAAAAATAATTTCCAGCTGGCAGGAAAGAAAGCGGGGTTATTCCTTTAGAACAGAGTAAAAATAAATAAATAAATAAAGCATCCTTGTTTCTTTTCCTTACCTAAGGGAGTTTGGCCTGTGCTATCCAATAGGTCAAAATCACCTACAAAACCAGAAATATAGTGAGGACATTTTGTTTACAGCTTCTACAATATGGGTTTGATGATCCAATGTCCAGGAAAGTCTCCTTTCTGATTTCCAGGGTATTTGGATCAGGTCCTAAATAAGTAGCCTGTTTTGTTTTGCCTTTGGGAAAGATGGAATTGCAAATATGGGTTCACCCTCTGGTTTGAATGATGGACATACTTATGTTAAAGTTTACACACACACATTTTAAAATCTACAATAAGATGGAGTTAAGGTTGAGAGTGCAGATCAGTAATTTAGGATAAAATACCCACTACGTCCCTGTAATGTATCCACAAATCAAGCAGTATAAATCCAAGACAATAAGAGTTAAGATAACATTTAAAGGAAATCCAAACATGTTCACGTATGGAAATGCACAATTAAGGCACCAAAACAACCTTAGTTCTGCCCTGTATTATGCAATAACCATATGGTTTTGAGTAAGACATTTTAGCATTTAGATTAAACTGATGTTAAAAGACATAGTTTTTTTTATTTCCCCTCATGAGTGCTACTGTACTACCAATATTTACTAAGTACAAAAATAGCAGGTGTCTGCCTAAATTTTCAGTCTGAGGCCCATCATAACCCAGAGCGATTTAGAAAGATGAGCTCCGGGAGAAGATGTATAAAAGCTAGGAAGCCAACCGAACTGCCTCCTACCTGGATGAGTTTGCCCCATGTTATCCACTTCCCAACCTGGAAAGAAATGACATCTGGTTAGCACAGATGATTTTTTTTTTTTTTTTTTACTGGTTTGTTTCCCATAATAACCAAATGTCATTGCAAAGTCTGGGAAAGTTCTGTGATCACAATGGTCCCTTCTGGCCGCAGAATCTAGGAATGTATGTCTGATGGGAAAAAAAGAATGTAAGGATACAGAATCATAGAAATGAGCTGGAAGGGACCTTGAGAGGTGATCTAGTCCAGCCCCCTGCGCTGAGGGAGGACCACATATACCCACATTGTCTCTGACAGGTCTAACCTGTTCTTAAAGCCCTCAAATGATAGGGAATTCACAACCTCCCTATAGTTACAAAGTTTTTCCTAATATCTAATCTAAATCTCCCTTGCTGCAGATTAAGGCCATTGCTTCTTGTCCTACCTCAGTGAACAGGAGAACAATTGATCACTGTCCTTTTTATAACAGCCCTTAATATATTTGAAGACTGTTATCAAGTCCCCCCTCAGCCTTCTTTTCTCAAGACTAAACAGAGCCAGTTTTTTTAACCTTTCCTCATAGGTCAGGTTTTCTAAACCTTTTATCATTTTTGTTGCTCTTCTCTGGCCTTTCACCAATTTGTCCACATCTTCCCTAAAGTGTGACACCCAGAACTGGACACAGTACTCCAGCTGAGGCCTCACCAGCATTGAGGAGATCAGAGCAATTATCTCCCATGTCTTACATATGATATTCCTGTTAATACACCCCAGAATATTAGCCATTTTTACAATAGCAGCGCATTGTTGGCTCATATTCAATTTGTGATCCAGTTATGCCCCATTTTGTATTTGTGTACTTGATTTTTCCTTCCTTCTTATTGGTTTCAGACCAATTCTCCAATTTGTCAAAGTCGTTTTGAATTCTAATCCTGTCCACTAAAGTATCTGCAATCCCTTCCACCTTGGTGTCATCTGTAAAATTTATAAGCAGACTCTACACTCTGTTATCTGAGTCATTAATGAATCATAGAATCATAGAATATCAGGGTTGGAAGAGATCTCAGGAGGTCATCTAGTCCAACCCCCGGCTTAAAGCAGGACTAATCCCCAACTAAATCATCCCAGCCAGGGCTTTGTCAAGCCTGACCTTAAAAACCTCCAAGGAAGGAGATTCCACCACCTCCCTAGGTAACCCATTCCAGTGCTTCACCACCCTCCTACTGAAAAAGTGTTTCCTAATATCCAACCTAAACCTCCCCCACTGCAACTTGAGACCATTACTCCTTGTTCTGTCATCTGGTACCACTGAGAACAGCCTAGATCCATCCTCTTTGGAACCCCCTTTCAGGTAGTTGAAAACAGCTATCAAATCCCCCCTCATTCTTCTCTTTTCTGCAGACTAAACAATCCCAGTTCCCTCAGCCTCTCCTCATAAGTCATGTGCTCTAGCCCCCTAATCATTTTTGTTGCCCTCCGCTAGACTTTTTCCAATTTTTCCACATCCTTCTTGTAGTGTGGGGCCCAAAACTGGACACAGTACTCCAGATGGGGCCTCACCAATGTCGAATAGAGGGGAATGATCACGTCCCTCGATCTGCTGGCAATGCCCCTACTTATAAAATGCCGTTAGCCTTCTTGGCAACAAGGGCACACTGTGACTCATATCCAGCTTCTCGTCCACTGTAACCCCTAGGTCCTTTTCTGACTAGCACTGATCCCAGGACTGATCCTACCCAGATACGCCTACCCAGTTTGATTGCAAACCATTGATAGCTACTCTTTGAATAATCTTTCAACCAGTTGTGCATGCACCTTGTAGTAATTTCATCTAGACCACATTTCCCTAATTTGCTTATGCAAATATGTTGGGGGACTGTGTCAAAAACCTTACAAAAATCAAGATATATCATGTCTACCATTTTCCCTCATCCACTAGGCCAGTAACCCCGACAAAGAAGACAATTAAATTAGTTTGGCATGATTTGTTCTTGACAAATCTATGTTGGCTATACCTTATAACTCTATTATCCTATAACTGATTGTTCAATAATCTGTTTCAGTATCTTTCTAGGTATCAGCATTAGTCTAACTGGTCCATAATTCCCCGGCTCCTCTTTGTTCCTCTTTTTAAAGGTAGGTAGTATGTTTGCTCTTCTCCAATCCTCTGGGACCTCACCCATTGTTCATGAGTTCTCAAAGATAATTGCTAATGGGCCCAAGATTGCTTCAGCTAGTTTTTTGAGTATGCTAAGATGAACTTCATCAGGTTCTGCTGACTTGAATACATCTAACTTACCTAAATATCCTTTGACCTGTTCTTTCCCTATTTTGGCTTGTGTTCCTTCCCGCTTGTTGTTACTATTAATTTTGTTGAGTATCTGGTCACACTAACCTTACCATTTTCTTCATAAGAGCCTTTAACATATTTGAAGCCTGTGATCACCCCCCCCCCACTCGTCTTTTCTCAAGATTAAACATGGCCAGTTTCTTTTAAACCTTTCCTCATATGTCAGATTTTCTAAACCTTTCATCAGTTTTGTTGCGCTCCCCTAGACCCTCTGATTTGTCTACATTTTTCTTAAAGTGCAGTGCTCAGTACCAGATATGTTTACTTCCTGTATAGTATTCAGTCACTAGATATCTCTCTGTGCTGTATAGAGTTCCAGGCAGGGTGCAGCTCCTAGAAAACTAGAGACACAAAGCAGGTACTCAAATTGTGTGGAAACCTGGTTGGTTGGTTATCTGTAGTTGATTTTCTTAATAAGCAGCTCCTTGTTTAAGGTCAGTGATTCCCTATATCATGATGAGCAGATCTAAGTTTTATTCAGGTCTCCTCCACTGAGTTGCTGTGTAACCTTGGGCAAGTCACTTAACCAGTCTGTGCCTCATTTTCTTGTATTTAAAATGAAGTTAAAAAAAAATTGAGAACCAAATTCTGCCTTCATGTACACCTCATACAACACTGAGGACTGGAATAAGATTGTATGGGATGCAAAGACAGTATTTTAAGTTATGTCTCTTTATGCTTTAGTGGGAAATGAGACCCAGATTTTTTTTAAAAGTGTTGGGTACAGTAAAGCACCAGTAGTTGTGGGTATTTGCGGTAAGCTGGCAGAGGAGCCTGTCTCTGGATCTAAAATTGTCTAATTTAATATATACACAGAAGGGCTTCTGCTGTTGTTTGCAGGGTGGCAAACCTCACTCCAAGACACCAGAGAATAAACCATTATTCACACCCTCCCGCCTTTGGAGTAAGGATGGAAGGGCAGGATCTTTCTTTCACTTTTACTTCCCCAATCAGTCTCCTGAGTTGTAATTTGTCTCGACATCTGCAGCCAGCAGAGAAGAGTGGATGGCCAACTGGGGCCGTACGGCCAATTGGAGCTGGTCTAAAACACATCCACACTCCCTGGAAGCTGGAATTATTAATCCTTGCACAGTACTGGACACATCTGCTCTGGAGTGCACATTGGGCCAGACATTCAGCTTATGTAAATCAATGTCACTCCATTGTAGTCACTAGAGCTACACTGACTTATGCCAGCTGAGGATCTGGCATACTTTTCAGCAGCCTGAAAATGCTGTCAGGTAAGTTCATATTTTGCCAGACAGATCAACCTGCTGTCCTACTGAGCCAAGGGCCTGGGATTTCAACTACTGCTTAATAGAATGAGAATACTGGGCGTGGTGCGAGAGTGTGTGTGTGTGTGTGTGTGTGTGTGTGGGTGGGTATTGGCCTGGTGAGAAAAGTCTGTACAGCTTCCTTTATGATGTGACACCATCCTGAAAAAAAGATCCAAGATACTGCAACAATTTTGGTGCCTGGAATGCATGATGATGCAATGCAGACAAGACAGACGGATCAGAGGAATTTTGAGGCGTGTGGGGAGGGATAGCTCAGTGGTTTGAGCATTGGCCTGCTAAACCCAGGGGTGTGAGTTCAATCCTTGAGGGGGCTATTTAGGGATCTGGGGCAAAAATCTGTCTGGAGACTGGTTCTGCTTTGAGCAGGGGGTTGGACTAGATGACCTCCTCAGGTCCTTTCCAACCCTGATATTGTATGATTCTATGGGTAGATCTGAAATCCATTGATTCTCTGTCATCAAGTTGGAATTGCCCCCTGCCTGCCTCCCATCAACCCTACTTGCTGCCTTAGTGAATCTAAGGGCCTGACCCAAAGCCTACTGAAGTCACTGCCCCTTCCAGTGACTTCAGTGGGTTTTGCACTTGGCTCTGTGTCAGAGAACTGAGCATACCAGTTAGATAAAAGATGAGCCATATATAGCCACAAGATGGTAGTGTTGCACCAGAGAAGAAGAATCACGGTGGAAAACTAACTGTGATCTTCATGATGTTCAGACTAGTTCTGTCAATGCTCTACTGAACAAATACACTTAGTGAAAAGATGTGGACAATATTTTATCTGCCTTTTGCAGGCTAACCGTTTAGATTAACATAGTCCTTTAGAAGATGAAGTAGCCCAGTGCCCTCAGATTGTCCTACACTAACGCCGAACGTGACCTACAGCTATTAACTGGGGATTGGAATAACCACACATCTACCTTATATGGAGGTCTTTTATAAAAAGAAATTGTGTAAAATACTGAGAGATCTGTCTAGCTCCTGCTGAAAAGGGAACAGCAGTACAGAACAGAAATAATGCCTGGACCCTTGGCAGCACAACATAAGAGGAACTTGTATTTTATGTTTTTTTTCAAAAGCCTCGTGAAATATTTTTTATTTCACATGTTTTTGCTCTTAAAATAAACTGAAATGTCACTTTGGAGCAACTAAATGGGAAATCAAAGACTTCAGTGTGAAGATTACAGGGATTATGGAGCGAGTGGGAGGCCAGGAAAACAAATCAGCAAGCCTAAACATCCAAGCCTCTTGCATCATCATCATCATCATCCTTCTATTCAAATCCCTTTCAGGCAAACTGGGCTGCTGAGGTTGCTTGAATACATGTATTCAACATCAAATGTGTGTACTCAACTCACTAGTCATTTTCAATGATTAATCTCGAACCTTGTGAG